CGGTGCTACCATCAGCTCCACCACGCAGGCTCGCTGCCTAGGTGTTCTCTTTGACTCCGACCTCTCCTTCATGCCTCGTGTTCAGTCTATTGCTTAATCCTGCTGCTTCCATCTCAAAAACATTGTGCGCATCCGACCCTACTTAACGCCAGATGCGACTAAGGTGCTGGTCCATTCCATTGTCCTTGCTTGTCTTGACTACTCACCGCTTCTCAGTGGTCTTATATGCTCCCATCTTGCACTGCTCCAGTCCATATTGAAATGCGGCGGTGAGGTTCATCTTCCCACCTCGACGGCTGCACCTTTTCTGTGAAATTCACTTCCCTTCTCTGTTAGATGCTCACCCAGTCTCCACTCCTTCAAAAAATCTTTAAAAACACACTTTTTCATAAAAGCATATCAATTAAACTGTTAGTAGCTCCCAACTTTCTTCTCTCTTGCAACTGTCATTAGTCTAATACTATCCTTACCTTTTGTGTCACTTTACCCCACTCCCTCTAGCATGTAAGCTCATTGAGCAGGGCGCTCAACCCCTCTGTTCCTGTGTGTCCAACTTGTCTGGTTACAACTACATGTTTGTTCGTCCACCCACTGTAAAGTGCTGCGAAATTTGTTGGTGCTATATAAATAATAACATAATAATAATAACATATTGACCTGCATAAACTCTTTAGTAAAAAACAAAACATTGAGGATAAATGGAATGTATTTACACAAAATAAATAATTAAAAGCTTAATGAAGCAGCTTTGTTGTATATATCATGCCCCTGAAGCAGTTACGGAACTACCGCATTCACGGGGTTCGCAGATGCGACCGGACCCGTCACTCCAAGGGGCCCGGCCACACTGCGGACCCCTGCGACTGCAGTGCCTGCCGGCTTAGTAACACGGCCCCAGCCGTGCATTCAGGGGCCCATTGGGTGGCCCATGCTGTTAGGGCCACCCAATGCTATGTATTTCCAGGGGGCCTGGTCAGCGCTGCAGTGCTTTAACAGTGCAACCGGGCCCCCTGTGATGAGGTCAGAAGTGACAGCCCTGTCCCAGCTTACACTGGACTTCTTGTGCATCATCTTTAGAAGAGGCTTCCTTCAGGCACGACAGCCATGCACACCAATTTAATGCAGTGTGCGGCGTACGGTCTGAGCAGGCTGACCCCCCACCCCTTCAACCTCTGCAGCAATGTCCACCGTGCTGCAGCTCAGTTTTTGGGTCTTGGCAATTTTCTTATAGCCTAGGCCATCTTTATGTAGAGCAACAATTCTTTTTTTCAGACCCTCAGAGAGTTCTTTGCCATGAGGTGCCATATCGAACTTCCAGTGACCAGTATGAGAGAGTGTGAGAGCGAAAACACCAAATTTAACACACCTGCCCCCCATACACACCTGAAACCATGTAACATTAACGAGTCACATGACACCAGGGAGGGAAAATGGCTAATTGGGCCCAATTTGGACATTTCCACTTAGGGATGTTACCAATGGTTTAGACATTAATGGCTGTGTGTGGAGTTATTTTGAGGGGACAGCAAATTTACACTGTTATACAGGCTGCACACTTAATACTTTACATTGTAGCAGAGTGTCATTTCTTCAGTGTTGTCACATGAAAAGATATAATAAAATATTTACAAAAATGTGAGGGTGTACTCACTTTTGTAAGATACTGTATATGAAGTTCAGAGTTGCATGTAAAGAAACATGATAAACATATTCATTCCTTTAATTCTTCCTACTTGTATTTTTGTAAGGCTCAAAATGTTTTATATGTGTAACTTACACATAATGCAGAATATGATTTGTATTAAGTACAGTGTTTGTAAGCATTGTGATTGTATCTATGAATACGTTTGTGATAATCAGGAAAAAGTTACTACATTCATATTGAAAGAACACTACAAGTAATATACTTACTAAAATGGAAGAGGGTGTTGGGAAGAATCACAGGTTTTTTACACTGCTCCCAAATGGTTCAACAATTTGAGCTGTAATGGTTAGGTTGCTGAGGGTCACTCTAAGCAGCATCAGAAGTTTGCATAGTTGCAAAGATGATGGTGCATAGGGCACAACAATACTACAATTCTTAAAGTGGCACTGTTACCCCCCCCCCCTGCAAAATAAGTATTTCATAAAGATATAATATTTATGAAATGCTCATACTGACTGTGTTGGCATTTCACTGAAATTCAAACACAGTAAAGAGATATGCCGAGACATGTGAAGCAGAGGTAGAACCCTTCCATACAAAAGAAGGTCATCAATACATCTAAAATATGAGGACATGTTTCCTACTCAGTCATGCTCCTTTCAGTTAAATCTATCTTTCTATTCAGCCACGAAGAGGTTGGCATAACTGGGTGCAAACCTGGTACCTATATCATTGCTGTTCTTTTGTAGATAAAGACTCACCAAACCAAAAATAAATATTAATTAAAATCATTCTATTCCTTCTAATATAAAATCTGTGCTTGGTGCACATCTTTCTTTCTAAAATATTTTTCACAGCACTGCAGCCTTCCCACTCTATATTATTTAACTTATTAAGAAGGTATATTGTGTCTTTCAGGTATGATTTGACTTTTTATATATATATATATATATATATATATATATATATATATATATATTATAAAAGATATTTGATAAAGTAGAACCTATACCAGAAACAATGCAACATCCAGGAGAGTTATTTACATCATTCTGTATTTTAGCTAAAAAATAACAGGAATTGTATGTTATAAAACAAAATAATTAAATTCTTATGAATCTAAAATCCTGTTAAGTCTGCCTTTGTCTAATAAATCAGTTGATCTAAGCTTAATATTTGTGGGGGGTTCTTTATCAAGTTTAGTGTATGCATTTAGATCATTAAGTTGTCAATAGGCTGCCTGGTAATGAGATTCCTTTGATAAAAGGACTTCCGGCCTTTGTCAGCAGGTTTAATTATTATAGTACTGTCGTTGTGTTATTTTTTCAAAGCTTCTCTTTCTTTTGTAGCTAAATTAAAATTCTCTCTGATTTTTTTTTTTTTATTATTTCTAACCGTGGTTATATCTACGCATACCTTTTTGTCAAATATTTCCAATGCAGTAGATTTAAAATAAGATGGATAAAATGTAGATTTGTTGCAGCCAGAGCCACTAAACAGCACACCAAGGCCTCAATTTTATATTTTTGGAGACTTCAATTGATTTCATATTTTTGGATAAATGTTTACAATAATTTTTTTCAACATATTAAAAAATCTAAAATATATATGTTAAAACATGCATATATAGTGGGCGGAGCCAAGACCTTGAGCTGAGCGGATGCTTGCTGCGTGAACTCCCGCATGTCTTGCCGATTTGCGGGGGATCGCCCCTCAATCAGCATTGTTACTACGAACACCATACCCTTCTTCGGTTGAGGGTATTGTGCTGATTCCACAGACCCCTTATTCGAGCTCACAGGCAATCAGGTGGCCGTGGTGGTGCATTGCGGAGCTGGGGGAAGGCGGCCTATTTCCCCGTACTACAATTGCTGTGCAGATCAGCCCCACACCTACCTCTCCTCTGGACCGGTGGGGGTTATCACGGTCCCCACTGGACTATCTTGTTTAATCTTATGGAAGACACATTGTACATAAATGTACACGACAGCAGACAGGCCTACTCTGACGGCGCCAACTCTAAAGCAGACACATGGAGATCTCACAACCTCCACTATGAGCATAATGACAAGATCGGAAGGAACAATTACCAAATTCTGGGCTATACTGGAGGAACGACCTGCAGCTACATATTATACAAGAAAGAGAGCAGGTGAGACAAAATACGAGTGTCCGGTGAGCTCCCTGGGGCTATGATATGCCGACAGGGTTCTGCTACTCTCCCATATCCACCTGGCCTGAAGGCTATCCGGGGCTTGATCCCACCACATTCATCACACCAGCAACGGTCAGTTACCAGTCAGACCAGGACCTCAGGCTGTACCCTGCTTGGAAAGGACTCAGGTTCTTTGCAATTTCAAGTCTGCAGACAAGAAATTCGGACCCTTGAACATGCCTGGGGCTGTAGGGATGATCTTCCTTGACAGAGTCACACTGAGCAGACCTCAACAGACCTGTTGAATGCCTAATGTGCCCACCATGTGTAGGAATCAGGTGAAATCTTCACCTAACAAGATTGGATGGTCTATTGGTATTGAGAGGCGCTCCTGAACTATCGGAATTTGCCTTACTGAATTGTTTTGTTTTTCTTGACCTGTTGTCTCATTTAATTTATTTTGTCTTATTGATACCTGTCTCACACACATCCTATTTAAAGTGCCAAATAGACCTCGAGTACAGTACCAGTGGTAATTCAGCCTTGCACAATCTGCCTCATAGCAGCCTTGTTTTATGCACCCAATGTTTTTTTCTTATACCATATCCTGATATATCTATTGCTTATACTCACAAGCACTGTGCTTTTTAACTCTCCCCGTTAGTTATGCGGCTGTAAGTTATAGTTCAGCATTCCAATTTTTAATATAATATGTGCAGTTTTTTTCATGTGCCATGGCAATATAACTACATGTATATCTGAAAATGCTTGTCCATGCTGTTGTGGTTTGTATTTTCTTGCACACTACAAATAAAGAATTTAAAAAAATCTATATATGAATATATAAAAAATAAAATAACATATTACAAAATTAAACTATTTCAGAATATTAAATAATTTTATACAAAAATATTAAATAATTGGATAAGCTTTTCTGACAATAAATCAAGGAAGATTTTAATGGTATAATGGTCACTTTTTTATTCTATTTAATTTGTATTTTAAAAAAAAAAAAAGAATTACCTTTATAATGGCAAATATAGGTGTCAATTCTAACTCCACGGTTTCCATAGATTCAACTAACCCCCTTCCCCATATTCTTACTCCTTGATCACACCTCTGTATCACCAACACACCTGTGGCCATGTGAAATGTTAACTTAATAAACTTTGAATAAAATAAAATCACGGAACAGCATGATTTTTCTAAAATACAAAATATAGCTTTATTTATTTATTGTATGTACATACAAAGTATTTGTTTTAAAACTCAAGTTTCTTAAATACAGCAAATAATGGTTAAGACAAGTAAACCTTGGTTTCACACTGTAACTCACTAGTGCATTCAATTTCCCACCCTGGCAAGATAAAGCCAAAAAGGTTGAGTCACAAGAGACATGGAAAAAAAAAAACGTCAGGCGTGTTTACAATGGAAAAAAAAATCTCCTCTTTCCTTCTACTGAAAAGTGTTCTCTAAATTCTTATGCTGCTTCAAGCTATGGAAATAGATTCTGTAATATTTTGATCAAATTCATGAGAAACATGACCTCCACCAGACTTTAAGGGGGTCTGTTCAGTAAAATAGTTAATTGAAAACATAATTGCAAAAATGGATAACAGGTGGAAAAATGGTTCCATGCAATTACCAGGTCACAAAAAAAATCACTATTTAGTGGACATCCTTCTTTATAGTGACTTGAATTAAAAAGAAGTCAATTGTGGTTAAAGGACCACTCTAGGCACCCAGACCACTTCAGCTTAATGAAGTGGTCTGGGTGCCAGGTCCAGCTAGGGTTAACCCTTTTTTTCATAAACATAGCAGTTTCAGAGAAACTGCTATGTTTATGAATGGGTTAAGCCTTCCCCTATTTCCTCTAGCGGCCGTCTCATTGACAGCCGCTAGAGGCGCTTGCGTGCTTCTCACTGTGATTTTCACAGTGAGAGCACGCCAGCGTCCATAGGAAAGCATTATGAATGCTTTCCTATGTGACCGGCTGAATGCGCGCGCAGCACTTGCCGCGCGTGCGCATTCAGCCGACGGGGAGGAACGGAGGAGGATCGGAGGAGGAGAGCTCCCCGCCCAGCGCAGGAAAAAGGTAAGATTTAACCCCTTTCCCCTTTCCAGAGCCGGGCGGGAGGGGGTCCCTGAGGGTGGGGGCACCCTCAGGGCACTATAGTGCCAGGAAAATGAGAATGTTTTCCAGGCACTATAGTGGTACTTTAATTACCTCTTTTTTAAAGTTAGGTAGAAAAGTATTACTTTTTCAAGGTTAAGAGCAGATTGAGCATATCACTTTAGCAAGTACTAAAATTAGTAAAAGCAGAACATTTCTAATTACTGTGATTTCAGATCACCAAGAACACTAACAAGATGAACTAATGCAAATTTTAACTCTGTTATTGGCAATAGCATTTTTGTATTCCTTTTCCCCATGTTTAAAAACCTTAAAAAATGGTTCACAAGATCCAGAGTTCAGATTGTTATACTGTCAGTGTATTAAATAAACAATCCATGCATCATAACTTTTAGCCTGCTGGAGTGGTTATGGTGCCAGAAGTGCCCACAGTAAGTTGTCAAACTGTTTAAGGATGTTTTCAGAATTTACTTAAAGGACCACTATAGGCACCCAGACCACTTCAGCTCAATGAAGTGGTCTGGGTGCCAGGTCCATCTAGAGTTAACCCTGCAGCTGTAAACATAGTAGTTTCAGAGAAACTGCTATGTTTACATTAGGGTTAATCCAGCCTCTAGTGGCTGTCTCATTGACAGCCGCTACAGGTGCTTCCGCGCTTCTCACTGTGAAAATCACAGTGAGAAGAAGCTGACGTCCATAGGAAAGCATTTCTCAATTCAGCGATGATGTCGGAAGAGGGAGGAGATTTCCCCAGTGCCGTAGAAAGGTAAGTGAGTAACCCCTTCCTCCCCCTTCAGCCCGGCGGGAGTGGGACCGTGAAGGTGGTGGGGACCTAAAGACCCCATAGTGCCAGGAAAACAAGTTTGTTTTCCTGGCACTGTAGAGGTCCTTTTAGGCCATTGAGATGCCTGCTGTCAGTTACTCTACAGGCAGAAACTCCTACACTGAGGTGGTGCAGGACAGCACTCATTGGCTAAAGAGGGCACATCTGACACTCTCAGCCAATGAACTGGCCCGACACTACAGGGCTTAGCTCAGTGAAGCTAATGAAAGCTGCTTGTAGGAGCTTCAGGCTCCATGGGAGGCAGTGATGTTTGCCTGTGATTGAGTTTCTATGTGTAGAAGCCTGAGGCTGAGTGAGTAATCTGTCAAGCCATTCTTAATCAGTGTAACTACTTATTTAACTACTTATTTTGGAAGAGCGCTAGGACTCTTGGCACCATAAATAGCAGCAGACTATAGTTTTTATGATACAGTAGTACCTTCAGGGTAGTATGTTCAGGAACTGGTTCACTGTAATATGGCTTTAGTTGGTAGTATAATAATTATATCCGTTTCTAAAATGACCAATAGTGATGGAGAAAATATGTATGGTGTTTATACCTTTAAATCTGCTAGAGGCAGATTTTATCTGTTACACACCAAATACTCTGCTTAGATATAAAGCAGCTAGATAATTACAGAGTAACAACAACAAAGAATGTAATCTGTATAGAGTAGAATACACAAAATATTGTAGTGTATATATCTTTAAATCATATAGTCGCACACTGAATGGTGCAAATGGGCAATATATAATTTATACCACAGAGATATAGAATTAGCTAAATCTCTTATTATAAAAGATAAATATGAGTAAAAATTCCAAAAAGCCACTATAAAATAGAATCAAAATGTATATTTATTAGTAAAAAATGGATAAATGAAAAATGTATTAAAATTAATAAATAGAAAATACAAATTGCAAAAAATGTGAGCCAGGAACGATTTACAAGTCAGTAGTCAGCATAAATAATGAACTTGTATCCTGATAACCACTGTAACCGATGAGGATTACAGTGGATACTGTGTGACAGGATTTTAGTATCTGTACTTGCCGGCTGTTGCGAGGTTGGCGTGCATGCCAAACCTCACTATGATAGTCTGATGCCGGCAGTCCGTCAGTCCCCCGATCGATGGGGAAAGGAGCTGTGCTTTCTGCTGGCAGCTGGCTGTTCTCCGTATCCTGTATCCTCTCACACTATCAGCTTGTCTTACGCGTTTCGTGGGTGTCCGCCCCACTTCCTCAGAGACGTGATGGAATTCTATCTGATCGTGCAGTTTATATACATGACTTAATAAAAAACAGATGTGGCAATTGCTCTGTATAAGTGAATTATTACTGCTACATGAAAACATCTTTTGATATAGAAACTGGTAAAAACTGTATTAATAAATTGTATTAATAAATTCATAAACAATTTACACATGGAATAATGATAAAATAGTGGCATGGAATTATCAAAAAATAATGGCATGGAATTATCAAAAAATAAAGATAAAAATAAGAATAGAGAAGGTTAATCCTCAGAAAATCGTTATAGTGAAGTGTTTGTGCTAATATTAAATATATGTATATAGAAAATATATGTATATAGAAAAGAATATGGAAAATATAGACTGTATGTTCACATTATAAGGGACAATAGGGTGTAATATATAATATAGAGTATAAACAATATGTGTATATGACATATATAATTAATGATGGCATATAATTATGAGTATGAGTTAAGTATGAGTAATGCTTTGGAAATAAAGTGACTAAGTGCAATAAAGTGGGTCAATATATGATGATTTAATAATCAATTAATAGTGTAAAGGTCTCAATATATAACATTTATAATTAAAAATAATGGCATCAATACATATGATTAGTTAATCTAGTAGAAACATTTAAAATATAAGTTATACTATGAAATGATGCTTAGACAGTAAAGTGATTAAATGCACTAGAGTGAATTGGTGTGTAGTGATTTTGGAATCGGTTAATAGTGTAAAAATCCCAATATTATGAATAGAGGTAGGAACTATTAGAATAATCTATTAAGGAAAAAAAAAAAAAAAAGAGAAGAGAAGATGAAGAATTTAAAATATATATCAAGAACACTCAATAATAATAATCTTCTTGATATCGAATTCTTCCATACCATCCATAGATGTAAATCTGGTAGTTTCAGATTCTTGGAAAGGGTTATTCATGCATGACCAATATGAACTGTGATACGAAAGGGGTTATTTATTTGATCACATGCCCATGTTCAAAGCAGTATATAGGACGAACCAAAAGGGCATTGAAGACAAGGATGGCAGAACACATAAGAAACATCAGAAAGGGACTTCAAACCCATAACCTCTCAAGACACTTCCAAGACTTTCATGGAGGAGACCCTGTAGGATTAAAATTCTTACCCATTGAACAAGTAGATGTCCATTGGAGAGGGGGCAATATAGAAAAAAACTTGGACCAAATTGAAGCAAGGTGGATTTTCCACCTAGAGACTCTGGTCCCTAAAGGACTTAATATAGACTTTAAATTGAATGCTTTTCTCTGAAGATTATTATTATTGAGTGTTCTTGATATATATTTTAAATTCTTCATCTTCTCTTCGCCATCATTAATTATATATGTCATATACACATATTGTTTATACTCTATATTATATATTACACCCTATTGTCCCTTATAATGTGAACATACAGTCTATATTTTCCATATTCTTTTCTATATACATATATTTTCTATATACATATATTTAATATTAGCACAAACACTTCACTATAACGATTTTCTGAGGATTAACCTTCTCTATTCTTATTTTTATCTTTATTTTTTGATAATTCCATGCCATTATTTTTTGATAATTCCATGCCACTATTTTATCATTATTCCATGTGTAAATTGTTTATGAATTTATTAATACAATTTATTAATACAGTTTTTACCAGTTTCTATATCAAAAGATGTTTTCATGTAGCAGTAATAATTCACTTATACAGAGCAATTGCCACATCTGTTTTTTATTAAGTCATGTATATAAACTGCACGATCAGATAGAATTCCATCACGTCTCTGAGGAAGTGGGGCGGACACCCACGAAACGCGTAAGACAAGCTGATAGTGTGAGAGGATACAGGATACGGAGAACAGCCAGCTGCCAGCAGAAAGCACAGCTCCTTTCCCCATCGATCGGGGGACTGACGGACTGCCGGCATCAGACTATCATAGTGAAGTTTGGCACGCACGCCAACCTCGCAACAGCCGGCAAGTACAGATACTAAAATCCTGTCACACAGTATCCACTGTAATCCTCATCGGTTACAGTGGTTATCAGGATACAAGTTCATTATTTATGCTGACTACTGACTTGTTAATCGTTCCTGGCTCACATTTTTTGCAATTTGTATTTTCTATTTATTAATTTTAATACGTTTTTCATTTATCCATTTTTTACTAATAAATATACATTTTGATTCTATTTTATAGTGGCTTTTTGGAATTTTTACTCATATTTATCTTTTATAATAAGAGATTTAGCTAATTCTATATCTCTGTGGTATAAATTATATATTGCCCATTTGCACCATTCAGTGTGCGACTATATGATTTAAAGATATATACACTACAATATTTTGTGTATTCTACTCTATACAGATTACATTCTTTGTTGTTGTTACTCTGTAATTATCTAGCTGCTTTATATCTAAGCAGAGTATTTGGTGTGTAACAGATAAAATCTGCCTCTAGCAGATTTAAAGGTATAAACACCATACATATTTTCTCCATCACTATTGGTCATTTTAGAAACGGATATAATTATTATACTACCAACTAAAGCCATATTACAGTGAACCAGTTCCTGAACATACTACCCTGAAGGTACTACTGTCTCTTATTCCTTTGGACAGGTTTGGGTGTATCCCTGTCCTGGTTCAGTATTGAGCTATTCACTTCGAGTCGGACTCCCTCATCTCTGTGTATTGCACTAGGCAGACCAGATTTAAATTATAGTTTTTATGATGCTTGCAGTGCTCTTTTGAGTGAATAATTTTGGGGATGCTAAAAATATAAAGTATAGTTCCACTCAAACCCTTTAAACAGTAATGCTATAATAATTTTGTCATATATGGACTAATTAGCACGATAATATTTTTTTCGCAATAGAATTGTGTTTTAAATGACATTTCTCAAGGAAATGTTATGTATTTAACGGCTAGCTAAGCATTGCATTACATAACATAAAACTACAATAGCTAGAATGTCAGAGTAAAGTTTGCTATAAAAGCCTACATTTGTGTCTTAGGGCATTCAAGAGAAACCCCAAGTTAGTAAATGGAATTGGGGAGTTAGAATAAATAGCATGATTATGGAATTATGTGTAAAGAATAAATAACATAGCTTTGGCAATGAACACATGCATGAATCAGCTTCTAAAAGTAGAGCAATCGCCATGGAGAACGCTTTTCTTGCGGATTGTTGTACTGGTAACATTGGCAAAGAAGTGCTCTTTACACAGGCATCATACTTTTAAATTCTGCTCCAATATGTATATATATATATATATATATATAGAAAGTGTTAAAACAGAAAAATATCACATACTTGTGGATGAGTTGCTATATGCAGAAGCTTGAGGCTGAGTGAGTAATAGCTGAACATTAAAAGGACTTGATACCATGGGATTTTAAACAGCATCATGCAATGGCGTCAGCTGGCATGCAGTAAGAACTACACAAGATGCTAAATGTTTTAAACCCTGTGGTTTCTCATCTGTTATTTAAGCCTTCCCTCAGCAATACGCAAGATGAATAAACAAAATTTGAATGTCTTTCCTTTTTTTTTGGCATTTGCAGATTAAAAATATTTTAGGATATTTCCTAAATATTAATTAACTTTTTAATGGTTGCCCATGAACAACTGAAAGCAAAAGAAAGCAGTATTGTCAGCTATAAATTATGCATAATGCTCTTATGTTCAACCAGCCCAAAGCTGGCATAGCATATTGGGAGTCATTTCATGGCAGCCAAGGATTTATTCACTAAACATTTATTTTCATGAGTTTACAATGGTGTTGGAAAATCTAAGCAGCTGAATTGGATGCACAAAATACTTACAAGGAAAGTATCAAAATTGCTATTTATTAAATTAACATATATTCAATTTCTTTCCCTCCGATAAAATAAATCAATGAAGTGATCAACAACAGGGAAATTGTTACAAAACTAACATGGTTACATTTAATAGTTAAATAAATAACAATTGGTGTTGGATGTCTGCTTTTCAAATTATTATGCCATGATGGGGGTAATTTGAATTGAGGGCTTGCTAGTTCACCCTGAATTAAAAATTGGACTAGAAAATCAATACAAAAATGTAAATGTTATGTCCTGTCTTGACCGTGCAACTTTCCAACAGACCGCCTTAAGGTATACATGGGAGGCATTTATATACTGGGGAATGTAGCAGAATTTGGGTGTTACAGCAGAACACACAGGTCTGTGAAATCAACACAAAATGCAAAGTGTGGCTCTCGTAATGATGTGGACGTTTGCACATGTGTGCACATATCGGACGTAAGTATGCACGATCGCACCGGAGGGAAGGCAGAGAGAGATTGCTTGGAGGAAACGGGAACGATTGTGCGTCTGCAAAGATAATGAAAATGCAAGTGTCAGGACCTACTCTGTCCTGTTAAGAGGTCTGGCCTTGGCTTCCGGTATCCAGTACTCTTTTTACAATTCTTGTTTAGTTTTTCTTGGTTTTTCTGGTTTTGTTTATGCTGGGTTTTCTGGGTTCATTCCTGTATTCCGTTCCTTGAATTCCCAGTATCTTGGATTCCTTTAAATGTTTGTTTTATGTTGCCACACCTGTTCCTTTTCCATTTATCCTTTTTGTTTCAGTTGGTTCCTGCTGGCAGTTGCTCCAAGTCCTCTGCCCTTTCTTGCAGGTAAGTGCTGTGTGTGTTTTATTGTTTATTTAGTCATGCATATCTGGGTAGATAGGAACCCACCGTAATTGGAGGACTTTGACGCAGTGGTGGGCTGCATACATCTTGGCCATTTATGTATGTCTAAATCTCTAAATGTTTTACATATATAGTACTTAGGTTTGTCTCCTCTTGTTTTGCCTAGTATATCTTGTCTTGTTTTATATTGTATTCCCAGTCCATGTACAGTCCTGTCCTGCCCCTGTTCTGTTAATGTTTCCCTTATGTATTGTGGGTTTACCTTTCTATCCTTCTCTGGTTCTGGATTCTACTAGTTTTGTCTTGTTTTATTGTTTGGTGTCTATCCTAGTCTTGCCTTGTTTCTAGTACTGGATACATCTCAGCATATTTCTGCTCTGACATCCGCTAAGCTGTAACAGGGTCTTGTTATGTGGCCGCAAAAACGCTGGTGCTCAACACCAGGGGGCATGCAGTTACCCTGCACCAGGTCCTACGTATCCACTACCACGCTGAAGACTCCCAATCAACTACATCAGGCACAGGGGTCCAGTCTAGAGACTGCCTCCCGTGACAGCAAGTCCCTTGGTAACCCAATTTGCAACTTCTGGGAGCATGGAGGAGCGTGGGGAAGGAGAAATCTAGCCACACACAGGCTGAAGCCCTCTGAACCACGGAGGTACCCATGTTGTTAGAATGCCATGTTGTAAAAGCTCTCCTTACAAAACTGATCACATTAGTCACTAAAGTGATTTAATGTTCAGAAAGGACATACCTATAAGGTGAGATAAATCATGTGGATTACTGAAATTTCCAAAATAAGTCAGAATTTAACTTATTTCCTTTTTCTCTGATTGGGGCAGAGTTATTAATTATTATTTTTTTAATTCTTTATTATTCTCTGCCCATCGCCTTGGAAGGGACAAATTGTAGTGTGACGAGACCAATCTCGCCACATTGCATTGGAGAAGCCTGGTTGCTCGCCTGCTGCCTTTGGACTATGGCCCCCTTTTAAAAGACTTTATTTTTGCCTGCAGAAAAGCTGTATTCGTGCTTTTCTGCCTGGGGTTCAGTAGATTTGTTTGAATGTGTTATACCCCAGATAGGAATCCCATGGAGCCCATTTGTATGAAACTGACTGTAAAGACTTTGGCTCCATGGCGATTGAACTGTATTCGTGTAGTCTGAGTGCCATTCACCTAATAATGTGCACTCAGACCTGAGCTATCTGGGGATGTGTTACATGCCTGTGTTTAATGTAGTAAATGTTACTTTGTGCATTTTAAAGTATAATGCTGTTTTGTGTTCCCACGTGTGTAATGGAGTTTTGCCTTTGTCTTGGGAGATAATTGAGTTACTTCCCAATTATCTCCCAGGGCAGAGGGGAGGAAGCCAGGATGCATTGTGGGAATATACTGTGACTGTGTGTCCTTTTTGTATACTTGTCTGTCCCTTGTCACAGTCTCCCATTTGGTCCCCTAGGGGAGTGTCCACCAGGTGGGAGACCTGCATAAAAGCTGGGCAGGTAGCCCTCATTAAACAGACCACTGCTTGACCCTCAACACGGAGCCTTGTCTCGTCTTTGGGGGGATTTACTGTATGCTGCTAAGGACTGATTGCCAGGAGTGTAAGCCGCTTGGAAGCTTTTCCTGTTCGCCTGCTAGCAGCTATTCGTATGGTTCCTGTTCGTTTATTTGAAGTGCTACCTTATTCCCTTGTATGCCGTTCGGGAGTTTGGAGCATTCACTTATTGGCGGTTCGTGAGTTTTGGTGATTATACAGTAGCTGTGCCTGACTCTGAAAGGGGGATTATCGTCTAAGCGGTTTTTTTCCCCTTTTGTGCAAAACGGTCCGTTACAATTGGTGGCAGCGGTGGGATCGTTCCTACAGCCAGAAGGACAGCTACAGGAAACACCGTTTCTTTGGATTTACAAGTGGGGGCAACGCATGTCCCAGTACAGCGACCCTAAAAGCAACAGAATGGAACCAGCAGTGTTATACAAGGAGGAGGACCTGGATGGCCGGGATGCATTAAGGAAAGGCATCTGGTACCAGGCCCTGGATAATGTACAATACCAGCGGGGTGAGAGTCTCCCCAGTGAAGAGCAGCGGTTGCAGAAGCAAGTGGCCCTGCGGATGCCCTTCCTGGGAGAGCAGCCCCTGGAGGAATGGGTGAAGGAACTAGAGCATCGGGTATGGCAGGAGCTATGGCTGGAGGATGCCTACCAGGCGCTCTGGTGGTATATGGCACAGTATATACCCTGGACAGCTGAGCATGACAAGCCAGAGGGAGAGGAGTTTGATGGTCCTGGCTTGTTATGGGAGTCCTTTGCAGAGCCTGACTTCGGGAGCCCTGCGCAGAACAGACTTCAGGAAATTTTCTACGAGAGGGAGGCTAGGCATGACTGGGATGACCCCCATGAGGTAGAGCAAGACCTGGCTCACCTAGCAACCCTGGAGTGGGAACTGGAGCAGGACTACCGAGATCTCTTCCACTCCATTGGGAAGGCTCCGCAGGACAGCAGAGTGACAGATCCAGTCTCAGACCCATTCAGCTGGGAAGATATTGTTGAAATTTACTGGGAGGAACCCCAGGCGGCAGGTGGAGAGGGGACCGAGGTCTCTCCACCGGTATTGCAGGGAATTGGGAGCCCGAGCTCCATTCCCCAGCGGGAGATATTGCAGGGAATTGGGAGCCCAAGCTCCATTCCCCAGCGGCAGGCTGAGTTACAGGGGGCAGAGGTAGTTGTTCCTGCCCCCCAGCAGCAGAGTGATATGCCAGGAAGGCAGTGTGAAGTGCAGGGAGAGGAGAGCAGCGTCCTCCCTCCCCAGCGGCAGGCTGAGTTACAGGGGGCAGAGGTAGTTGTTCCTGCCCCCCAGCAGCAGCATGATTTTTGGGGAATTGGGAGCCCAGTCTCCATTCCCCAGCGGGAGATACAGCAGGGAATTGGGAGCCCAGTCTCCATTCCCCAGCGGCAGAGTGTCCTACCGGGAATAGAGAGCCCAGTCTCCTTTCCCCAGCAGCAGGACACTGTATTGGGAGCAGAGACAGTCGGTCTCCCTCCACAGAGGATGAAAGTATGTATGGGAGAGGAGCTTGCTACCACCTCTCCCCAGCGGCGGATCATTAATGGGCAGGGAATAGAGAGCTCAGTCTCCTTTCCCCAGCGGCAGAGTGTTCTATCGGGAGAGGAGCCTGTTACCCCCTCTCCCCAGCAACATCTTAGAGTATCCAAAGGGGAGACAGTCGGTCTCCCCCTCCGGCAGCAGAGCTGTGCAACAAAAGGGGAGACAGTCGGTCTCCAGCAGCAGAGCGGTGTATCTAAAGGGGAGACAGTCGGTCTCCAGCAGCAGAGCTGTGTGTCTAAAGGGGAGACAGTCGGTCTCCAGCAGCAGAGTGGTGTAGTTAAAGGGGAGACAGTCGGTCTCCCCCTCCAACAACCAGGCTTCAACCAGGCTACCCTCCCAGTAGCGCTGGCAACAGGGCAGAGTGCCGCTGGTCTCTGCCCACACAGCAACCCACCAAGTCAGCGTACCCGTACCCAGCACAGCCGTGGTGAGGCACCTGGACATGGACAAGCTTCTCCTTTACCCAGGTGTAGTAACCATTTATTGTGGGTGGGCTGTGCTGTTGATTATTTGTTGTGGGTGGGCTGCTGGACTAACAAGGGCACTGACCGGCAGGAGGTCAGATACCCTGTTAGTCTGTTTGGAAAAGGGGAGAGATGTGACGAGACCAATCTCGCCACATTGCATTGGAGAAGCCTGGTTGCTCGCCTGCTGCCTTTGGACTATGGCCCCCTTTTAAAAGACTTTATTTTGCCTGCAGAAAAGCTGTATTCGTGCTTTTCTGCCTGGGGTTCAGTAGATTTGTTTGAATGTGTTATACCCCAGATAGGAATCCCATGGAGCCCATTTGTATGAAACTGACTGTAAAGACTTTGGCTCCATGGCGATTGAACTGTATTCGTGTAGTCTGAGTGCCATTCACCTAATAATGTGCACTCAGACCTGAGCTATCTGGGGATGTGTTACATGCCTGTGTTTAATGTAGTAAATGTTACTCTATGTATTTTAAAGTATAATGCTGTTTTGTGTTCCCACGTGTGTAATGGAGTTTTGCCTTTGTCTTGGGAGATAATTGAATTACTTCCCAATTATCTCCCAGGGCAGAGGGGAGGAAGCCAGGATGCATTGTGGGAATATACTGTGACTGTGTGTCCTTTTTGTATACTTGTCTGTCCCTTGTCACAGTCTCCCATTTGGTCCCCTAGGGGAGTGTCCACCAGGTGGGAGACCTGCATAAAAGCTGGGCAGGTAGCCCTCATTAAACAGACCACTGCTTGACCCTCAACACGGAGCCTTGTCTCGTCTTTGGGGGGATTTACTGTATGCTGCTAAGGACTGATTGCCAGGAGTGTAAGCCGCTTGGGAGCTTTTCCTGTTCGTCTGGTAGCAGCAATTCGTATGGTTCCTGTTCGTGTATTTGGAGTGCTACCTTATTCCCTTGTATGCCGTTCGGGAGTTTGGAGCATTCACTTGTATGCAGTTCGAGTGTTTGGAGCATTCCCTTGTATGCAGTTCGAATGTTTGGACCATTCCCTTGTATGCAGTTCGAGTGTTTGGAGCATTCACTTGTATGCTGTTCGGGAGTTTGGAGCATTCACTTGTATTCAGTTCGTGAGTTTTGGTGATTCTACAGTAGCTGTGCCTGTCTCTGAAAGGGGATTATCGTCTAAGCGGTTTTTTTTCCCTTTTGTGCAAAACGGTCCGTTACATGTAGGATGCACAAAACATTGTCAGATACAGAATATCAAGCATATAATAACATTTCCAACATGTCATAAGGTAGTAATCTGACATATGAGCTGATGGTTTTTATGGGTTTAAATAACTGTAAGAATCTTGCATGGGTGGTCCAGCGTGTGTATGGTCTGTGACCTGGGTGTTCCTCATTTGCAGGGCAGATGTCCCTGTTAATAGGATTAAGAATATAACGTGTGACACTAAAAATTTAAAACAATAGGTACGATCATCAAGTGAAAATGTAGTGCGCTATAGGCTAAAAGTTGAGACAAGGTGTTAATGCTATAGCTTGTGCTCGGTTATCAGTAGCCATGCGGGTTCATAAGGTAGCAGGCGCCTAGCCTTAGGGTCAATGTACGCCTCTGTTCGGAACAGCCATGTCTGCGGACTATCTCTGTTTAGCATTATCGTTTAACGAGAAACAATACATCATAACTTTGCATGTTCATAAGAATAATGGGAAACAAACAGAAAAACCAAAAAAACAACAACAACCAAATAACCAGAAAAATAGGGTGCCGAGCACCATTAAGCTAGCGTCTGATTAGAAGGCTAATCTGGTGGAGGATAACGTTCTGGTATCCAGGGAGCGTGCCCTGTGCCTCAGGTAGGGACTAATGCCGGGGCATTTGAGTGTGCCCTTGATGGTTTAGACGGTGCAGCCTGTGTCAGGTCTCGCAGGTGCTGCGCTATAGAAATCCCTCTCGTTGCGGACAATGATAAAGAGTCCCTTGGAAGGCCCAGGGTGTCCAGTATGTCAGCCGCTTGTTGCAGGGTTTGTGCCGAGTAGGTCGCATCTCCTCGCAGTATTTGTAGTATCCGCGGTGACCGCCACCGATATCGGATGTTGTGGACTCTGAGCTGGCTTGTGAAAGGCTATAGAGATTTTCTCCAGTGCATGGTGTCTCCTGGGAGATCTGCATAAAATGAGTCTCATGTTTTCAAAAACGTGGGGCGAGTCCCCCTCCAGTGCGGTTTGCACCAACATTTTGTCCTTGAGAGTGTGGAAACGTACAACTACGTCCCTAGAGGCTTGTTCTGGGGCTCCTCCCGGCTTCGGAATCCGAAACATGCCTTTGAAGGCAATACCTTTTGCCTGTTTGGGCTGCAGGAGGGACCCCACCAGCCTTCTCATGAGGTGCGGGAGCTCCGCATTTGGTATCTCCTCTGATGTGAACCCTTTGGAATGATATGGATTTCTGCACAAATTGCTCATAAAATGTGATCTGATCATCATATAAGTCACAACAATAGACAATCACAGTCTGCTTAAACTTATAACACACAAAGAATGAAATGTTGCCATGTTTTTATTGACCGCACCATGTAAACATTCACAGTGCAGGTGGAAAAAGTATGTGAACCCTTGGATTTAATAACTGGTTGAAACTCCTTTGGCACCAATAACTTCAACCAAACGTTTCCTGTAGTTGCAGATCAGACGTGCACAACGGTCAGGAGTAATTCTTGACCATTCCTCTTTACAGAACTGTTTCAGTTCAGCAATATTCTTGGTATGTCTGGTGTGAATCGCTTTCTTGAGGTCATGCCACAGCATCTCAATCGGGTTGAGGTCAGGCCTCTGGCTGGGCCACTTCAGAAGGCGTATTTTCTTCTGTTTAAGCCATTCTGTTGTTGATTTACTTCTATGCTTGGGGTCATTGTCCTGTTGCAACATCCATCTTCTGTTGAGCTTCAGCTGATAGACAGATGGCCTTAAGTTCTCCTGCAAAATGTCTTGATAAACTTGGGAATTCATTTTTCCTTCGATGATAGCAATCTGTCAGAGCCCTGACGCAGCAAAGCAGCCCCAAACCATGATGCCCCCACCACCATACAGTTGGGATGAGGTTTCGATGTTGGTCTGCTGTGCCTTTTTTTCGCCACACATAGTGTTGTGTGTTTCTTCCAAACAACTCAACTTTGGTTTCATCTGTCCACAGACTATTTTGCCAGTACTGCTGTGGAACATCCAGGTGCTCTTGTGCAAACTGTAAAAGTGCAGCAATGTTTTGTTTGGACAGCAGTGGCTTCCTCTGTGGTATCCTCCCATGAAATCCATTCTTGTTTAGTGTTTTACGTATTGTAGATTCGCTAACAGGGATGTTAGCATTTGCCAGTGACTTTTGTAAGTCTTTAGCTGACACTCTAGGATTCTTCTTCACCTCATTGAGCAGTCTGCGCTGTGCTCTTGCAGTCATCTTTACAGGACGGCCACTCCTAGGGAGAGTAACAGCAGTGCTGAACTTTCATTTATAGACAATTTGTCTTACCGTGGACTGATGAACAGCAAGGCTTTTGGAGATACTTTTATAACCCTTTCCAGCTTTATGCAAGCTTTATGCAAGTCAACAATTCTTAATCGTAGGTCTTCTGAGAGCTCCTTTGTGTGAGGCATCATTCACATCAGGCAATGCTTCTTGTGAAAAGCAAACCCAGAACTGGTGTGTGTTTTTTATTAGGCAGGGCAGCTGTAACCAATACCTCCAATCTCATCTCATTGATTGGACTCCAGTTGGCTGACATCTCACTCCAATTAGCTATTGGAGATGTCATTAGTCTAGGAGCTCACATACTTTTTCCACCTGCACTGTGAATGTTTACATGGCATGTTCAATAAAAACATGGCAACATTTCATTCTTTGTGTGTTATTAGTTTAAGCAGACTGTGATTGTCTATTGTTGTGACTTAGATGATGATCAGATCACATTTTATGACCAATTTGTGCAGAAATCCCTGTCTCTAATATCCTCCCAGGACTGGCACTGAATTTATTAGCACACAGATCGAGCGGGAGTTTTGAATAGCAGGACAGCGAGCGGTAACAGCTTCTCTCCTTCTACATATGCTTATTTGTGATATCTTAGAAATAAGTATCACCATTTTCACATGTAAGGGTTCTCTTTAGGGGGGGAAGGTTTTTTTTTAATATTTTGTTTATATTTACGTAATTAAACTACAGTTTTACACTATGAAGTGTTTTTTTGTATCCTTTTAAGGTACACACAGACACAGTGTTATACAGTGTTTTAAAGACGCTGGACCACAGCAGAAAAACAGAATCAACCCTAAAAAGATTACTCCCCAAAGACTCTTTTGGACTCTGCAACAATTTTAATGGTTATATGAAATGATAGCTCCAATGGTTTTATATGCAGCTGATTTTGTAAAAAAGTGATTTTATTCATCATTATAACATTGCATATAGAGGTGTCTGTATTTCATACTATATATATATTGATAACCAATTCTGGCTTTTCAAACTATAGCGCTTCCACTCACTTTTATAAATAGAATAGAAAAAATTATTAAATATCTAGAAAACAAGGTCACAGATCTCGAGGACAGAGGAAAAAAAATAAAAATCGAAGAATCCGTGGGTTAGAAGAGTCAATCACCCAAGACCAATTAGGTTCATACATATGCAAACTCTCTGTTATCTCCAATAAAATTGGATGTATTTTCCTTTGAAAGAGCTCACCGAATTGTGTTAAGAAATTCCCGAGAGATGCTCTGATACGTTTTTTCAGCTATCGTATGAAAGATCTAATTCTACAAGCAACTAGAAAGAAAACTCCACTCGAATATGCTTATAAAGATCTAAAAAAATTTCAAGATATGTCTTATGCCACCAAATTTGCAAGACAAAAATTCATAGATCAGACCCAAATTCTAAGATCTAACTATATAAGATACAGATGGACCTTCCCTACATATCTACTACCAAGAAAAGCTAACTGCATGGAAAATCACTCTTAAAACCATGGAAGGAAGTGTTTAATATGCCTCAGAACTGAATATTGGACTCTTCTTCTCTTCTCTCTATGAAGATTATAGACAGAATATACTTAAATACTTCATTTTCAAAAGATCTTTTTAGAGCTGCCCCAATGAGGAATTAGGTCCTAAGTGACTAGACCGGTTACCTGAAGTGGAATATATTAGCTCCACAAGCACTTTAAGTTTGGGATATAAATCTTCTTAGATATACATTTTCATAACCTTTTTATCTCTTTGTACTTAAAATGCAAAGTGTGTGTAAAACACAGTAAAGCATATAATTTCAAAATATGTCAAATTAAATTTGGCAGAGATTTCCGATGAAACAAACTTAAAATAATCCATGCAAACCCGGGTTTACTTTTGCAAACAGTATTTCATTATAGTGGTAGTTTGCATTTGGCAATTGCTATTCTTCTTCATATCTGACACTGGCCCAGTATATCCATCTGTCAAAATTTGTCTTTAACAGGTATGTCTCTAATTAGACTCTCCAACTTGCCAAAAGCTGTAAAAGGTATAAACAGTATAAGGTAGGTCTGTATTTGAGAATGCAGAAGAGTACAAACATGGGGTATTTACAATAGTAGGGCACACTAGGTCAGTAAGTCAACATAACATATTGTACCAGAACAGAGGTAATTTGCAGCTAGACAACTATTCAGCCCCAAGAGGTGACATTGGTCCAAAATATTTAAGCTGTAAAAATTACAATGTAGGCAATATTTTTATTTGATTCTACATTCACATTGAAAAAAAAAATGTGTGTCCATGTGTAAAAAAAAAAGAAAATACAACCATAGTTTTGGCAGTGATTGGCTATAAAATGGTTATAAGGTAAGTGTCAAAATAACTTACTGGGTTGTTTAATCTCTATAAATGTACTTTATTGTGGTGGGTTTAGGTTTAATAGTGATAGTCAACTCTCTGTCCCAGAATACCATATATTACAAACATTTAGCTTTTTAACTATAATTCATGTTTGCATCATCTTATTTCAGATTTATACTGACCTATTACTGTTAAATCGATTTGAATCCTATACATGAGGTATTCTCAAAATCTAAATGAATCAAGTTTGAGGTATTTATCTTTAATTGTATGACTACTACTAGAAATTGTTAAAGTAAACTTTTTTTAAGTATTTGTTCATATGTAAAAGGACACTAAGCACCAAAATAACTTTATCTTAATAAAGTGGTTTTGGTGTATAGATTATACCCCTGCCTTCTCACTGCTCAACTGTCTGCCATTTATGATTGAAATAATTTTCTTTTATGCTGCCGTAGTCATACCTTCCCTGGTTGAGAATTGCTCTGTAAATAGTCTGCAGCAGCTTCATGTGTCTCATTAAATATTAAGATAAGAATGTCTAAAATAAACGCACTATGCTATAATATCTAATTAAAAATTAGACTTTTTTTTATTCACAGAGGCTGTAAGTTACATCCAGGGTAGGTGTGGCTAGGGCTGCATAAACAGAAACAAAAGTGATTTAACACCTAGATGGCACAAAATTGAGCAGTGAACCTCCAGAGGCATGATCTATACACAAAACTGCTTAATTAAGAGAGTGTTCCTTTACATTTTATTTTTTTACAGTCAAAAGACCCATATGTCATTTAAAAAAAGTCTAATAAATAAGGGGCTCTAAAAAGTGTTATGGTGGAAACAAAATGGTACAATTGCTTCAGTCACAAACACAAGAATACTGGAAATGAACTCAATAATTGAGATGTTAAGTAAATATAAACACTTAAAATAAACCTTGCAGGCCACTAAAAATGACACTTCAAGCTATGCTGCTTCAAGAAGGTGTATATTGCCATCATACCTGCCAACAACTCTGGGTTAGACGGGACAATCTCAGCTTTAGGTTCCAGACTAGCCATTACTGGGGTTGTTCCTGGTGTCATTAGACATTATCACACTTTACAGAGAGCTCTCAGGTCATTGAGTAGTGTGCTTTAATAGTGCTCTGTGCAAGTGTAGCCCTGAGGGTTGGTGGCCAGAGCAGCCTTCAGTCATCTTGTTGTGCATGCATACCAGGCTGACATGCCTCCTTTTAACATCATGATCTACCCGCCTAATTGATCCCACCCCCTATCTCAGTGTAGGGAGGAATGTGCCATGGCAATGTACACCATGATGAACTAATAATTTATCAGCAACAGATGGCTTTATGTGCTACCATGGAACCATGCTCGTTAATGAAACCACCATGGGTGTCATGTATAATAATGTATCTATAAATAGATCATATTTTGTGTCAGTAACACTAAACATGATCTATGCCGTCATATTCTTCTCTTTGCACCTTAATGCTTTGTATGAAGGTATCTATATAAATGAGAGAAAAAATTAAAAATGCTTGATAATGTAATCTAAAGTTATCACTTTTCACACTATGCAGATAACATCAGTTACGGGTAGAGAATTGTAGCGACAAAGTGATCTATAATGCGTACCTATGTTTATATATAAAAAAATTAACATTAACAATTATTAGATCACTTGAGGGGAGAGACAGATACACTTTTATATAAAAGTCCAGGCACTTTTGTATTAAACGTTTCTCATGCATTTATACATAACTATCATTCTATATCTTGAATTATCTGAGCACGAAAGACAAAAAAAAGTTAAAAAGTTCTGACAAACTTTCTGATGCATTAAAAGCACCAATTTTACTATAATTAATATATGTATGTATGTGTGTGTGTGTGTATGTATATATATATATATATATATAAAAAAAAAAATATATATATATATATATATATATATATATATATATATATGGATTTCATTGTTTCATGGTTCAGATGGATGTTATAGCAATTTATTTTATCTAAGCTTGCTAATGTAAGTAGCAGACAAACATTTTGACATTTCTGAAACCTAATAATGTTACCATTAAGATCTAATTTGTATATAATGAAAACATTTAATTTATAAACATTGAGAACATTAAGAACTACAGTGAGGGTGAAAAAGTAGTTAATCCCCTGCTGATTTTGAACACTTGCCCACTGATAAAGACATGATGTCTATAATTTTAATGGTAGGTGTATTTTAACAATGAGAGACCGAATAACAAAATAAAATCCAGAAAAACGCATGTCAAAAAAGTTATAAATTAATTTGCATGTCAATGAGTGAAATAATTATTTGATTCCCTCTCACTCAGCAAGATCTCTGGCTCCCAGGTGTCTTTTAACCAGGTAACGATCTGAGATTATGAGCACTCTGTTAAAGTTAGTGCTCCTAATCTCAGCTCGTTACCTTTATAAAAGACACCTGTCCGCATAAGCAATCAATCAGATTCCAAACTTTCCACCATGGCCAAGACCAAAGAGCTGTCCAAGGATATCAGGGACAAGATTGTAGAGCTATACAAGGCTGTAATGGGCTACAAGGCCATCGCCAAGCAGCTTGGTGAGAAAGTGACAACAGCTGGTGCAATTATTCACAAACACAAAATAACAGGCAGCCTCCCTCGGTCTGGTGCTTCATGCAAGATCTCACCTTGAAGAGTTCAAATATTTATGAGAATGGTGAAGAGCCCAGAACTACACAGGAGGATCTTGTTAATGATCTCAAGGCAGCTGGGACTATAGTCACTAAGAAAACAATTGGTAACACAACGCCGTGAAGGACTGAAATCCAGTAGCGTGTTATGGCTACCGGCTCCTTTGCCGGAGTGGCTGCACAAAAACTAAGCAGCCATGCTGACAGAGATATTTCTGACTTACCTTGGTCCCGGTGGGCAGAAGCCAGTTCTCCCTCCATTCCGGTCCTCAGCGGGTGCGACGGTCTTAGGAATGCCGGCCGCTGCGGTTTGTATTTTTATAGGAAAATTACCTTCGCCCACATCAAAGATGGTGCCAACGTGCGTGCGATGTCACGTCATAGACACGCATGCGCGTTTTGGGGTCAGAGACAGCCAATTACAGCCTGAGGAGGGTTATTTAAACACCAATAACCTTTTTGTCAGTGCCCTGTTGTTGTTTCCACTAGCTGGTTATCCGAGAGTGTGTTCCTGATTTGCGTTTTTCTGGTATTTGACTTTGGCTTCGTTTTGACTTCCCTGATTTCTGGTATCCTTGACTTCTGGCTTTCCTCATCATTGTGTCTCATTCTGTGTCACGGACCTCGGCAAGTATTTTGACTATTCTCACGTTAAGTCCGGTCATTCTAAGGTCCAATTAGACAAAATCCTTAGACCTAGGTGTGATACTGTTCTGCATGCTGGATCAACTATAATCCTGACACAGTGCATGCAAGGTCCTCATGCTCAAGAAAGCACATGCACAGGCCCTGTTTGAAGTTTGCCAATGAACATCTGAATGATTCAGAGGAGAACTGGGTGAAAGTGTTGTGGTCAGATGAGACCAAAATCGAGCTCTTTGGCATCAACTCAACTTGCCGTGTTTGGAGGAGGAGGAATGCTGCTTATGACCCCAAGAACACCATCCCCACCGTCAAACATGGAAGGTGGAAACATGTTTTGGGGGTGTTTTTCTGTTAAGGGGACAGGACAACAGCCCTGCATAAAAGAGACAATGGATGGGGCCATGTAGCGTCAAATTTTGGGTGAGAACCTCCTTCCATCAGCCAGGTCATTAAAAATGGGTCATAGATAGATAGCTTGATAATGTAATCTAAAGTTATCACTCTTCAAACTATGCAGATAACATCAGTTACAGGTAGAGAATTGTAGCGACAAAGTGATCTATAATGCGTACCTATGTTTATATATAAAAAAATTTACATGAACAATTATTAGATCACTTGAGGGGAGAGACAGATACACTTTTATATAAAAGTGCAGGCACTTTTGTATTAAAGGACCACTATAGTGCCAGGAAAACATACTCGTTTTCCTGGCACTATAGTGCCCTGAGGGCGCCCCCACCCTCAGGGACCCCATCCCGACGGGCTCTGGAGAGAGGAAGGGGATAAACTTACCTCTTTCTCCAGCGCCGGGGGGGGGGGAGCTCTCCTCCTCCTCTTCGGCTGAATGCGCATGCGCGGCAGGAGCTGCGCGCGCATTCAGCCAGTCTCATAGGAAAGAATTCATAATGCTTTCCTATGGACACTTGCGTCTTCTCACTGTGATTTTCACAGTGAGAAGCACGCAAACGCCTCTAGCGGTTGTCAATGAGACAGCCACTAGAGGCTTTAGAGGCTGGATTAACCTATTTATAAACATAGCAGTTTTATTAAAAAAAAGGGTTAACCCTAGCTGGACCAGGCATCCAGACCACTTCATTAAGCTGAAGTGGTCTGGGTGCCTATAGTGGTCCTTTAAACGTTTCTCATGCATTATACATAACTATCATTCTATAGCTTGAATTATCTGAGCATGACCCTAAACAGAGAGCCAAGGCAACAAAGGAGTGGCTCAAGAAGAAGTCTAGCCAGTCTCCAGACTTTAATCCAATAGAAAATCCGTGGCGGGACCTTAATAACTTGGAGAGGACATGCAAACAGGAGTGGGAGAAATCCTATCCTGAGATGTGTGCAAACCTAGTGCGCAACTACAAGAAACATCTGATCTCTGTGATTGCCAACAAGGGTTTTGCCACCAAGTACTAAGTAAAAGGGGTCAAATACTTATTTCACTCATTTACATGCAAATCAATTTCTAACTTTTTTGACATGCGTTTTTCAGGATTTTTTTGTTTGTTTGTTAGTCTGTCTCTCACTGTTAAAATACACCTACCATTAAAATTATAGACTAATTATTTCTTTGTCAGTGGGCAAATGTTCAAAATCAGCAGGGGGTCAAATACTTTTTCCACTCACTGTATCTACATTTAATATTTTGAAGTATTGTGTGGTTTAAGAAAACCAATATATAAATCAGAATGGCCTCTAAATGAATGGTCTGAATATAACTAATTTTAACACTCATGTGTTAACTCAAAAAAAAAGTAATGAGCAAGAATTCAACTAAATTGATGCTATAGTTGATCTCCGTAACAGAGCCACAGAGTACTTCTCACAATTTCTCTATCCCCTTAAGGACACAGCTTCAGAAATAAAAGGGAAACATGGATCATTTCTGTCATGTGTCCTTAAGGAGCTGTACAATCATCCCAATAGCTAGTGTTATTAAATAAAATGTGCAACTCTGGGATAGTCTCTGAATGATTCCACCATAAGCGATTTCTATAAATCCTGAGAGTAAATATAAGCACACAGCCCCTTGTATCCTTCGCTTACATGCACTATACATCAGTTAACATTAGAATATGAATCGACTACCACCCAAATTCACCTGATTGAACACCTAAGGAATATTGTGACAAACTGAAAAGCAAACATTTTGATCAGTTTGTAGAGTACAAATAACTGCATTACAAAAAGTATGCTCCAAGCAGGAAATTGAACATTAAAAAACAAACATAAAAAAAACTCTTTACAGAGAACAAAGCTCCTTTGTTTTGTGGTACTTGGAAATTCTTACAGTGTGTCTCAAAGTAGCAATAGGGGTTGAAACTACTACACATTGAATTTGCTTCAAACTATTCACTAAAGTGATTGTTCACTTAGCCATAAAACATTTACGTTGTTCTTCATAGTCTTTTTGACTTGTTTTTGAAAGGAAGGGTTTTTTTTTTACAACAGAAGCTGTAGGTTCACTGCCCACCTTATGTTTACTAAAATACCAAATAGCTAAACTCCATTGTTTAACAGATATGTATGTGCACCTAAAAATTGATCAAGGATAATGGGGGTTCTCTTTTGAATATTTCAATAAAAGACAATGAACAGGGACATTGTGTACTGGCAAATAATCCTTTCTCCTTCAAAGTAATGGTGTGATACCACATTAAGCGGTGATACCATTTAGTGGACCAAAATGAGCATTTCTACAACATCTGGTCATGAACTTTGCAAGTGTATAGAGCCAAAAAGATTTCATGGAAGCTCGTCTTATCAAGAACTCTAACTTTGGCCAATATATACATACAGTCAGGTCCATAAATATTGCGACATCGACACAATTCCCCCTTGAAAAGTGGGAGGCACATATACAAACTGTTGTAATCCCTACACCGTTCACCTGATTTGGATGTAAATACCCTCAAATTAAAGCTGGAAGTCTGCAGTTAAAGCACATCTTATTCATTTCATTTCAAATCCATTGGTGGTGTATAGAGCCAAAAAGATTAGAATTGTGTCGTGTCCCAATATTGATGGACCTGGCTGTAAATGTTAAAGGCAACACAAAGTGTCTGTGGCGAAACTGACCTCGCCACCAGGCATTGGAGAAGACTGATTGCCAGCGTCCTGCCATGTGACTATGGCCCCTGGGATGTATTGCCCTTTAAAGACATGATTTGGGCATTATGGATTTGTATTGTGCTGCTGCTGGCCCTTTAAGAACCATCTGGGGACATACTGGGTGGCCACCATTTCACATATCAGAGGCACATGGTGAGAACAATGGATGAAGCACATGGTGAGAACAATGGATGGCGGCCATTTTAACTCACAGACACTGTTTGGACTTTTCTACACGGTGCCATCTCGATGGTATTTGGTGCACAAAGACATCGTGCAGTAGTTTTAAACTATACAACAGGGGACACATTATACAGTAATTATTTTTCATATAACCTGTATATGTTCTGCAGAATCTGCATTAAACTGTATCTTCCAAACTACTGAACGCATCTGGGTGAATTTTGGATATGTGGTTATTGCATGTTTTGGGGTCCCTGTGATATGTTTTATAATACTGTCGGGGTGCCAGGTGATCCGTTACAGTGTCCTACTTAGTCCAACCCATACAAATATTTTTATCATTATTTTTGGTGTTGGTATATAAACTTGTAGCATTAAAGAAAGGATCAATATTGGAAATTATTAAAAAAAAATGTAACTGCAAAGCTTATAATTACATCTTACTGCTGAAGTATCTTGCCAGAGATTTCATAGGAGGTAGTGGGTCAATAAACATAAGGAGATTCCACAAAAAAGTAACAATTAAATGATTAGATTTTAGAATCAAGACCAATGTAGCAGAATTGGTCACATCCCAAGAACTCTTATCTGGTTTTAATATTTAGTGTCAAAAAGCCACAACCTGAAAATTAATTCTAAAAGTTAATGACTACATGATCTTCCTGCATTTCTTCTTCCTCATCCTCCTCTTCAATAAGAAGTCCTTGTGCTTCACCATTTTGTGTAGGTTGAGGCCAATCGTTTGCTTCTCTAAGGCACCCAGGGTTCACAATATAGCGATAATTACCACTGATGGCAGTAGCACCACACGTCTGTGAAGGCTCTGGGCAACAATCGTTCTCATCTCCAAAACCAGAATGCAGAATGGAGTCTCCTGCAGAAGCTCCACAAGTCTCCTCGAGGTTTACATAGAGGGGATCCTGACTGGCTGAGAGTACAGATAGTCGACCCCATATTGTTTCTAGCCACCTTCTGAGATCTGTGAAGCAGGGCCTCCGTTTCGGCTCAGTAATCCAGCACTGGCACATCATTTCATAGCTGCAAAGAAAATAATTTTGTTTTAACATGTTTACACTAGTTAATAATATGTTGAAGACCACCATGAGCACAATATCTAAACTTAAAAATAATGCACCACTCCCCAAACGCAAAAAAAAAAAATGCTGTTTAGTAGATATATGCCAAATGAAAACTTGCATGCATTTAATTATGCATTTTTTTCATTAGTGGTATATCTAAAAACAGCTTGCAAAAACTGCAGATCTCTTGTCTGAAGTAATTTCAAGCCCTCCTCTTCTAACCCAGCCCAGACTTTCTTTAGTTGTCCAATCATAGACTTCCCAGCTCATTGAGAAGTCTTTAAAAGTCAGGTGCTCTGAGCAATTGCCTGCCTCTTGAGTTTAGCTACACTGAGCTAAACAAACAAGGAAGTAACTGGACCTGTTGTCTGTTTGAAAGTGCAACAGAGTTAATTTCTAAAAATGCTAATTTTATATTAAAATCTGAACTTTTTATAAAATGAAAACCAGGCACACACTGGACTCCTAAAGCAATTTAGTCTGCTGAAATGCTTCATACATTAGAGGTCCAAAGTGTCCCTTTAAGCTATGCTTACATTATTTTGGTCAATAAAGTGAAATAGAAGATGAAACAGAGGGACACTGCACTCCCTTCATAACCAGGGTGCAGCCGGACCTAAAGTGGGTTGAACTTCAAACGATAGTTCAAAGACAGAAGGTGGTCCAGGCACTCAAGTTTCAAAGAAAAAGCAAATTTATTGGGAAAGTGTACATCGTTTTGACACCAAAGGGTCTTTGGCTTAACAAAGACCCTTTGGGGTTGAAACTTTACTGCACACTCTCTCAATAAATCTGCTTTTTCTTTAAACCTTGAGTGTCTGGCTCATATTCTGTCTTTCAATTAAAGAATTAAAATTATCCTGTCATGTTTTCAGGTCATCATGCTCGGGATCTCCCTATCTGTGTGGTCCCCTATTTCCACATATCATGTTTAGGCTTGATTAGAAGATTGTGCTTGTCCCATCCTAAATATGATAAAAATGAGACTTGAGTATTAATCTGTGGGTAGATATTAATGTCTCTTTTGGATATGATATTGGAACACAAAACGTGTTCATCTCAAAGGCAATCAACACATAAGAGGCAATCAAGACATATGGCAAATGAGAGTGTTAGTTTATCCTGAAGCAAGACTTCCAGGCCACTTATGTCTGACTTCTCACACCTTACAGAATAGCTCTGTTGGGGTCCCAGCTTCAAAGAGGAACTTAGGTTGTAAACTCTGGCCTCCCATAAAATCAAACTAACCCCTTTTGAAATTGACAATATCACCTCTACCAGGCAGCCAGTTCATATATGCACTACACAAATTACATTAAGGGGGCATGGCTAACTGCTGATCCAAATGGACTTACCTTGCTAAGCTCCTAAAGCTTCAACAGCGGAATCC